CTAGTTTATGATAAAATACAATGTATTACTATACTAAAATATTCATTTCTTTGTTTTTTGTTCCACTAAGCTATCTCCTTTAGAAAGTACTTGTCATACTGCCTAGCACGTAGAAGTCACAAAGTGATCACTGAATGAATGAATGAATGAATGAAAATGAAACTATCTAGGAGATTTCCCATTTGATCTGTAGGTTTTGGCCCATAGGAAAAGGGCATATTAGACAGCAGCAAATGTAAAAATACAAAAGACGATGAGGAAACAATGTTTAGTGCACTTAGAAGCTGTTCCATGAAATCAGAAACTCTAATTTCTGTAATTCCATTGTGCATCTGGTCTATGTGTCCCAAGTCTGAACTTATGATACAGTTTTGAACCAAGTAATCACTTTAATTTAGCTTAAAAAAGAAAAAAAAAACTTTCAGGAACCTTTGAAGGAACATTCTATAATCACTTTTCTATCTATTACATTTCCAGTTAACAAGGTTTATGAGAAACTTGGCTTTCTAAGTTAAAATGTCAAAACAAATAAAAGTGCTCTGTCAAATCTTTATGTTCTTTTTCTTTTATTATTTCATGCTGGGTTTTTTTTTTCTCCCTCTGTTCCATTAATTTATTTTCTCTGAGTTATTTTTTGCAATGCTTCTTTATATAATTTTAAGCAAAAATGTAACACATTTTCCCAATTACCTCATGCCCTTTTCATGTACAAGGTTCTGATATTTATTAAAGTTAAGAAATGGATAAAGTGCACATTAGTTAACTGAGCACAAGACAGATTGGTTGGCAGAATCTCAAAGACCTAGGCATGTGGGGGGATGGTGTGGGGGGGAGAGGCATAATTGCAAAGAAGGAAAAGTGGTAGACTGAAAAAAAAAAAAAAACAGAGACTTAGTGGATAAAAACAGACCAATTTCAACTTTGGATCAAACCTTAGTAACCAAAGGCCAAAAATGAAAACTGTTTACTAACATGTTTTTGAACTTACATGTAGAAACTTACCTCTCCCTTAGAATGATGTCAGTTTGCAATGTGTAAATATTTAGTTTCAGTTTAAAAATGTATGCAGGAAGGGCAGCATATGCTTTGCCAGAATATGCCTAAATTTACAGTGAACAAGACCTGCCTTAGTACACCTCTCACTTTCTCACCATCTCTGAGGATGGTGTCTGTACCCCTGGTCACCCTCTGTAGTGCTTCATCCCTCTCCTCTACCTGGGAGCACCTGGTGTTCGAGAATTACTCTGCCCTTTTCTTATTCTTGTTACCATCCATTTCTACCTTCCCCCACTAAAATGGTACTAACATTGCCAGGTTGTAATAATTCACAGGATATTATGGAGGATAATTAAAGTATTGATTCAGAGTGTTTGTCATTCCATGTAAATTACAGATTGGTTGAATTTATGACAACATCAACTTGCAAAGTATTTCAAGAGAAGAGAAGATATTAAAGACAACTGAGATATTGCATGGGATTCCACTTTGTATTCTCGTTATATAGGTAAAAACCCATATACCTATCTCTGATGATGTGGAGTTTGGGCGAAATGGGGGATTTTATTTGTCACACTGAAATTAAAACCATTTGAGATGATATACTATCACTTTTTTTAGATAAGAAAATGACATATAACATTTATATGTTTATCTTTATCAAGAGCAATTTTTATTGATGTGTATTTAGTTTTTATATGATATATAATATCAGTTTTTTTCACATTAGGGTTAACTCAAATTTTAAAATATCTTACACCTGAAACAATGTATTTTGTAACAAAACTAATTCTCCTTTTCTTGACTGAAATGGAACGTCTCAATCTTTAATCTATAAGGTCTTTCTAGGCCTCAAAGAACATTTTTTGCCCTCTAAAACCTCCAGGATCAGAAAACGCTATCTTCCAAAATGCCATAAGCCAGCGCATATTTCAGTTGGACATAGTTCAGTATAGTTTTAATCTGTTTACTTTAATGATCTTGTAATTTGGGGGTTATGGCCTAATCACAGATAGTATTTAATTGTTAGATGCTAAATTTTCAAGATCTACTGGAAAAGCTTGGTCATAATACATTCAATAAAACTGAAACTCTGGTTTGATTAAGGAACTGTAATTTATACTCTGTCTTGTAAGTCCCACCCAATTCTCAGCAGCCCGTGGTCTCTCCTGGAGCCAAGACCTTTCACAAGGAAAAAGCAACTTATGCTCCTACACAAGGAGGAATGTGAATGCAGATCAAGCACTACATTCAAAGTGCCACTTGGTCCCCAGCATAGTAAAAGGGGAGAACAAACAGAAAGCTGAGTTTACACATTTTCCCTGCTATTATTATTCTCTAGGAGTATTGGTTTTCTGAGGAATGTTCATTCTTATCAAGACAGAAGAAATTTATGAAATGTTTACATTTTGTGTCTAGTGGAGTAGAGCAGATTGTGGTAGTTTTCAGAACTATTTCAATCTCTCAATTTAGTATTCAGTATTCAATGAGGAAAATAAAAACAGAAGCAAATGTTGAAGTATATATGAATACTTTCAGCAATCAAGGCTATTCTGCTTAGTAAAATTTAATCGACTGATGAAATTGGTGACATTTTCAACTAATTGTTTCAGAGACTTTCTGAAAAGTAAGGAATAAAATAGGAATCCTATATCCACTGAAAATTCATAAAATTTTTCTTATTAGCTTACTATCTTACATGTGGTTTGATGGCTATTATGAGGCTGACCTAAATAACATTTTAAATTCTAGAATTTTTTTTTTATCTGTTAGGAATATAGCCAGATAAAGAGTTGTTTCTACTACAACATGGATGTGCTATTGCTCAATTCACCAGCAGGAACTGATATCACATTTAAACACACATTGAAGAAAAGTAAAATACAAGTGAAACAAGCCAGCTGGAATTGATTATGCAAATGAAGAATTTAAATCAATCTTATTGAATAATCATATATATTGTGCTGCACTCCATTTTAATAATATTTCAAATTCCACTTTGTAATCATTTAAACAACTCAATTTAACTTGGCCTTAATGAAAAATTAGTAAAAAAATAAAATAAATCTTCCTTACATCATAAATGATATCTACATAAAACTTCAGCAAACAGTATGTAATGTAAAATATTAAAAGCATTCCCATAAAATAAGAAAAGACAAAAAAATTTACTTAAGGGAAAAGAAAGTTTGCTACGATTGGTAATATTCACATTCTTTTAGAACTTTTTTGCAAATGCAATAATACTTTATTTTCAACTTCCAATTATTGTATTTATATGTGCAAGAAACTGATATCTGCATGGTTCTAAAAGTAGCCAAATTATGCTACGTACTTACTTGTATGAATATACCACAATGAATGCACTAATAAAAACATAAAATAAGTAAATAAATAAATAAGCACATAAATACATAAAGGTTGTTTTTTTTTTTTTAATCACTAGATATGGGTAGGGATGTAACTCTGGTAGAGTACTTTCTTTGCACTGCATGAAAGGCCTTGAGTTTAATCCCCAGTACTGAGGGGGGAAAAAAAGTGGCTGGATATAAGGTTTATGAGCTAATAAGCAATAACATATTAGAATATATAACTAAAAAAAGGATACAATATTTGAAAACATATTAACTTTTTAAAAAAATTCCTAAAGAACATAACTGAAATAACTTTTTAAATAACTTTAAATAAATTTTAAATGATTTTTTTTAAAAATTCCTAAAAAACATAACTGAAAAAAAATCTGAATTTATTTTCTAGATTGGAAAACCTCCAAAGAGAAAAGTTCTGTAACATTTGCTAATACTCTTTATTTGCTAATACTCTTCAGGGGCTAGACACTATATTGTAGGCACTCAATCAAAATGTTTTCGATAAGTAAAAAGTTTGGGAAAATTATGAATGATATACTATTCAATTGACACTATAATGTTGCTCAGATACCTATCATATATCTAGTTACCTATCATGAATTAGGAAAGCAAACTTCCCTGAGGATAAAAATTTTAATCTATTGGTAATTATAGGTAGAATTAAATTTAATTATAGGGCTGGGGCTGGGGCTGGGCCTCAGTGGTAAAGCACTTGCCTTGTACGGATGAGGCACTGGGTTCGATTCTCATCACCACATAAAAATAAATGAATAAAGATATTGTTTCCATCTACAACTAAAAATAATTTTTAAAAAATTTAATTATAAATTCATAATTTGTTTTGCTAATATTAGGAAAAAAATCCTAGTGCTCACATTTACTAATCCAAAAGAGTGCTCACAGAGAATATACCTTATAGATAACCATAGGAAAAAAGAAACCAAATGAAAAAGTTAAATGTTACAAATATTGTATATTCAATTGTGTTTCAAACTGATGTGGTCTTCTCATTCTAATAATACAAGTAATGTTTTTTTACAAGACTTTTAAGGCCTTGGCAATATCATTTTTAAATTATTATTTTTTAGGAAGAGTTAAAATCACATCTGAAATAAATCAAATCATTATATGATTGAAGGCTTTCTTTGATTATGTATATGCACATATCTCTTACTACTTTCACATAAAGCATACTGATGAAACTTCTAAACAAAAAGAGTAGATTGTATCTTATGTTAATTACATGGAAAATGATCATACCAGATTGAAATAGTTTCTTAAATTATACATTAAATAAAATTATGAATAGTCAGGTATGCCATTCAAATAAAGTAATTACATTTTTTAAAATATTTATTTGGTTGTAGATGAACACACAGTATCTTTGTTTTTATGTGGTGCTGAGGATTGAACCCAGTTCCTCATACGTTCGAGGCAAGCACTTTACCACTGAGCTACAGCCCCAGCCCAGGTAATTCCATTTTTAACGTATAAAATGTCAAAAGCCAAACACTGAGCTACAAACTACTAATTAAATCACATTTTCTAGACTAAATTTTAACTATGTGAAAAACAACATCAGCAAATGTTTCCTAATACACTTATGAGGAAAAAGCATTTTTGTTTTCATCTTACCTTCTGCTGCACAAACAGTCCATAATATCAACCAAATAATCTTTGCAGGCAATCTCATGTTTTGAATCTTTTAAGGGCACATTTAATAGCTGAGAGTGCTCACAGGGTCCAGTTCACCTCTGCTAAAAATCACAATCAGGACAGGAAAGTACTTGCTTCTAACGGAAGTTGAAAGAGCTTGGGAAATAGGGGTTACTGGATGCTCCACCCATCAGAAACTTTCGCAAAGCAAATGAGGAGAAAAAAACAAACAATCCTACTAATCCTAGCAGCGCGAGAACTTGATCCAGATTCTTACTGCACTCCCACTGAATGCTAATGCTGTGACCTCTCTTTGATTTGTTCTGGTAAATGAAGGCATGTTCTCTATTGGAACAAGCTCAGGTCTCCTGGAATGTAAAAGCAGCAGGGGGTTATCACCCACTGGGATTTCATAAACTCTCCAGTAATCCAACTCTGTTCAGTTCTATTGCATGTAAACCACAGAACAGGAAGTAATGGAATGTCTATAAAACCATTTATAGAACTTCAGTTGAGGCAGTGGTTTCTCAATCAACTCCCAGACAACATAAGCAAACAACTTAGTCCTGTCTGATAAGGGGAGCTTGCTTTTCCAGCAGTTTGTGAAATCAGTCTTTAAAGACTTTTTAATATGCATGTGTGAAGCAACTGGTTCACTCTGACATAAATGAGTTTAATCATTCAAGAAAAATTGAAATTTTTTTAAAAAACTTGATAGTGAAGTATAATATGCATAAAGAGAATAAGAGCAAATGATTTGCTGAATATTACTGTGAAGACACACAACCACCATCAAGGTCAAATCACTGAATTTCACTATCTCCCTAAAACTTCAATACTGTCTTTCATTAAGTGCCCCTTGACCTCTGTCTTGCTGGCCCTCCATATGGGGTGAACACTATCAGGATCTCTAAGAACATGGGATATATTTACCTGTTTTTTGTACTTTTATGTAAATGGAAAAGAAGCTATTTGCTCTTGTGTTTAGTCTTTCACAATGTTTGTGATAGTCAACTACATTGTTGGATTTAGTTGCAGATTGTTAATTCTTAATTCTATATAATATCTATTGTTTGAAATATTCACCATTTTTAATTTATTAGTGTGTTTGTTATTGGGTCTGTGAGTAGATTCTAGTTTGGAGCTAACAGAAATAGTGTTGCTATGAACATTAAATTATATGTGTTTGGGCAAATTTGTGTCCACATTTCTAGGGAGTATGTAGTTAGGAGTGGCCCATTAGGCCACAGCTTATGTTTAGGTGTGGTAGGTAATATCAGACAGTTTTCCAAACGGGTTATACCAACTGACATTCCCCTCATTCAATCTTTGTAATTTTAGCCTTTTTAGTGACCATAAAGCAACAATTCTCTATGGTTTTAACATGAATTTTCCTGATGACTAATGAAATTGAATAGTTTTCATATAGGTTTCTACTCAAGACTTTGGTGTTTTTTGGTTTTTGGTTTTTTTGGTTGTCTCTTTTTTTCTTGTTGCATTGTAGGAATTCTTTACATATTCTAGCTATGAGACCATTCTCTAACATATGTAGTGTAAATCTTTACCCAATCCTTAGGTTGTCATTTTTCTCAATACTATATGTCTTTTAATAAATGAAACTTGTTAATTTAAAAATAGGGTAGATTTTTTTTTATCAGTGCATTTTGTGTCCTTCCTTACTACCCCCAGAACACAATGTTTTTTTTTTTTTTTTCTAAAAGAATTATTTTTTTGTTTCACATTTCTTCAGCATAGCTGCTATTGATTTTTGTGGGGAGTATAATGAGGACTCCAGATACATTTTAAAAACTTGGATATCTAATTGTTCCAGTACTGAACTCCTATATTGTATATTATATTAATTATATAATATATAATATAAATTATAACTTAGGTAACTGAGGTCAATATCATCCAACTCTTCACATAACAAAAACTAGAGTTCCCCTCCCTCTCTATCTCTTCTAAAATTTCCCCTGAAGTGTCAAATTCTGGGAAAGTAGGATTTCTAGTTATCTTTTAAATTGATTTATTTAATTTTGTTGGATCAGAAAACATTCTGTAAATAATTACAGTATTTTCAAATTTGATGAGTTTTTCTTTATGGCCCATTATATGGTTTGTATGCTACCTATATTAATATATTGTTTGTGTTGTCTCTGTAAATCATATGTATTTTTAGTATATTTGTGTCTGTTTATTTTATTAGAAAGGATATGTTAATCTCCCACTATGATATATTAATTTAAATGGTAAAAGGAACTTTAGAGATATTATTTTGATCTTGAAATATGGAGAGTATTCTGGATCATCTGGGTGAATTCAAGATAATTTGTGAAAAGAAAAGAGAAGGAGGGAGAGAAAGAGAAGGAGTTACGTTACTGTGGAAAAGGGTAAGATAGAAGTTCAATGTTTTGACTTTGAAAATGGAGGAAGGAGACATAAACCAAACAGAGGAGAAAGCTATTGGAAACTGGAAATGATAGGAAAATTGATTCTTCCCTGAACCATTCAGAAAGAGATGCACCTCTTACACCATCTTAATTTTAAGTCAGTATATACATGGCATATTTTTAATATTTGGAATTTTAGGATTAAAAACTTAGTGTTGTTAATACAATTCTTTTACAGAAACAATAATAAATAAATACATTATTTTTAAAAATACTTTTGCCTTGTCTAGCTATTTTCCATTTTATTTTACTTTTGATATCACCTTGTTGATTTCTATAAAAATTCTGCCGGGATTTGATTGAGACTGAGTGTAATATGTTTATAGCTGGGAGATTCATATTATTAAAATATTAATTCTTCCCTTTCATGAACATGGTATGCCTCTTTATGTATTTAGGTCTTCTTTCATCTGTTCAGTAATGATTTTTAATTTTTAAAATGTGGGTTATGTATATATATTTTTAATTATTTTCTTATGTAGCAGGAGATTTTTTAAAATAATATTACATATTAATTTTTTCCATTTTTATTAAATCACATAGGGTTCTAATGTTTTTCTTGTATATAAGGGTCTTATTAAATTTAGCATTGGTTTTGCAGTATATATCCCTCTGATTACATTCTTAAAACTTGTCTGTGTAACTAATTATACTATAAATCTATATATTCTTAGATAATTTAGATAAGCTTCTAAAGGGTATCTCCAGGGGAGTTTTGAACTTTATGTAGTAAATTATAAATCACTAGCTACTCCATCTCATGCTTACCTTGGTCAAGGTTTAACACTAGAATTCCTAAGATTTTTGGAGATAACCACAGAAGGTATTATTCCTGTCCTAGTAGTTTATCTTCCTGTTTATTGGTCAAATTTTCTTAGTCAAAAGTATCTCATGGTCATTCTTTTTCATATCTTTTAGTTGTATTATTTTTCTAGAGGTTTTTTTTTTTTTTTTTCAAAGACTGATTCCTAAGGTACTAGTTGAGTGGTTTGGTTTAGAATTTATGCTTCAGTTCTTTAAAAAAGAATTATTATAAAGATATTTAGAAGAACACATGAAAATTAGCAACACATTATTTAACAATAAAATTTATTATATAGTATTAGATTACCCTTAAGAAAAGCAGATAGCAGTTAACTATTAATACTAAAATTAGGCCCCAGAATACCCAATTTATTGTCAATGTTCATGTCGGTACATTCTAAGCAAATGTGTAGAATTCATACATATAACATGAAAGTTAGCAAAATGTATAAGATTTATAAATAAAATTTGTATTAGAGGAATGCTCCATATTTTAAAAAATGGAACTAAGCAAGAAAGGACTGTTATGGTAAGAAAAACACAGGAGTTTTGAAGAAGGAGAACTAACACTGGGCTTTGTCTGAGGATAGTCTCAAGAATATTTGTGTATTACACGGTAATTTAAAAGAACAAACCTGAGCAGACACCTGAAGTGTAGGAAACAGAGGCTATTCTGTAATGAAAGCGAAGACCAACACTGGAGCATTGGTTTTGCACAAGGAAGTCGTGAAAAAAGTAAGAGAGGCTTTGAAAAAGAATAGGTTTTAATTTCACATTAAAAAACTAATTTTGTAGACAATAAGGTATCTTTGATAATTCTAACTATGAAAATAAATGTGACATGTACTCAAAGGATGGAGGAAAAGGAATAAGAGTAATGAATATGAATAAAGTAGGTTATTTAATAAATTCTTAACACAAAAATTATACAGAATCACAATGTGAAGAAAAGAGGAAAATTGATAATTATAGTTAGAGCTTGGTTTTCTCTGAAGCTAGTAAAATTTAATCTTCAGTATTCCTTATTTGAAAGGACACCATCAAGGTCCTGAGAGGGACTTTCGGAGTGTTTATACATAGTATTAGGCTTTTTAAATAAAATTGAAAAGATGTTTGAATTGCAAGAGAGTATGTTACTGCCTTGTTCTACTCGCATTTCCTCTTTCTTATACTTCAGCTAAATCTGCTGACTTTAGGGAGGCATTTGAAGGATGCAACTAAGAAGCCAAGTACAGGATGGTGTTAGTTTAAGCCGTCACGATTGTATATAGTTTGGAAATGGCCATTCAAGTGTAAGAACAACTTCTAGGAATACTTCTACTATACCTGAGCCAAATCAGTTGATGTTATGACACATAGATGTAAATAAGGTCTAAAGATGTAGAATATATGAATATTCCAGATTGCCTGGCACAAGATATTTATGGGTATTGAAGGATAAATATGATTTTTTAAATCTCGCTGAATTTTAAAATTTTAAGAGGATCATTCATTTTCATTGATTCCTAGTAAGAATGGAAGTTTATTCCTGTCATGAATAACATATTGATATCAATGAAGTTACCATAAACTCATGTCTTCAAAATGAGAACATTGACAACAAACTAGTTTAAATGTCTCAATTCAGAGGGAATTTGATATTAACCATATCACAAGAACTCTTTCCAAGCCCTAAAATTTTGCTATCCATTATATCAAGGACACTTGCCAGATTTTTTTCTAAAATTTGATAACAATCCTAAAAATTTATTGATATTGTAAATCATGAGTAGTGAACCTGTAGTGATTTTTACAATATTTCAATAAAAAGTAACAAAATTTTAATGAAACACATTAGAGGAAAGTCTGGATAATTTTTCTATTTTATCTACATTGAAAAAAATTGTAAAATTGGGTCATATGAAGAAATAATTGAGCATTCAGCCAAACAATATAAAAATTAAAAGTATCATAGAATCTATCAT